GGGGGGGGGGGGGGGGTCTCCTGATTTGAAAGATCAGCGTCCTACTCAGAAACCCACACTTGGTCCCACTCAATAACCCTTTGTTTGTTCTCGGCTTTTGTAGTGCAGCGTGGTTGCGAGGCTCTGAGAGGGCAAAATTGGCAAACAGCCTGGAAGACATCTATGTGTGAGTGCTTTTCATCATTTCTGACCACATCGAGATACCGTGGCAAGATATTATCATTATTCTTTCCACGGTGCCGCATCTGTAAAGTATGTGACTCTCAGAGCTCCCACTCTCACATGCAACTATGTTGTTTTCAACAGGGAGCACATGGGTGAGAGCATCCTCTACCTGTGGGTGGAACAAATCAGAGACTTTCTTGTGGAGAAGTCCTACAGCTCTGAAGCAGGTGATGTGAGAAATTAAATTCAGGCATGAAGCCACACTTCCAGCAGCTGGCCAGTTGAAATGATGCTCGTCTCGATCTCCATCTTTTATAGCATTCACTACTTTAATTTGACAGCTTGCACAAGGCTGCTTCTCCAAGTGCAAAGGTTCTATAGCACCTGTACTTGGCTTCTAAGAAGCAAGACTTTCTTGTTATCTTACAAAAAATATTACAACTTCGGCTGATTTTTTGCTCGTTATTTATTTATTTTTTCATTCAACCTTTATTTATACGGGTTAGTCTCATTGAGCCACGAGGACTCATTTACCGGAACAAGAGGGACCTGTTTCAGACAGAACATATAAAGTACAGACAACAATAATAATAAACAATAACAATAAACTATAGTAAAAATGCAGTTAAATAAAAGTAGTGATATAAGCACGGTGGCGCGACTGCTAGAGCTGCTGCCTCTCAGCGAGCAGGTTCCCGGTTCAAATCCCAGTCTGGGGGCCTTTCTGGGTGGAGTTTACATGAGTACCCAGAGAAAACCCACACATGCACGGAGAGAGTGCATGTGTGGGTTTTCTCCAGGTGCTCCAGTTTCCTCCCACAGACCAAAAACATGCATGCTAGGCTGATTGGTAACTTTAAATTGTCTCTAGGTGTGAGTGAGAGAGTGAATGGCTGTTTGTCTCTGTGATGGGTGTCTCTCAGGGTGTCCCCCACCCCTCGCACAGAGACTGCTGGACATGGGTGCCGGCGACCCCCTTGACCCAAAATGGAAGAATCGGGTAAAAGATAATGGATGGATATAAAACAGGGTGAAATACAGAAACATGAACATATCTGCTTTGATTTTTCCATTGACATTATCAAATGTTTAAAATCCCCTAAAGAAATTAAGGTGGACAACTTCAGTTTCTGTTGCAAGGTGTTCCAGATTACAGGAGCTGAGTAGGAAAAGGCCTTTTTTCCAAGGTCAGTCCGCACTGAGGGAACGCTGCAGGTAATGATGGCCTGAGAGCACATGTTATTCATTCATTCATTCAACCTTTATTTAAACTGATAAGTCACATTGAGCCTAGAAGACTCATTTACAAGTGAGATCTGTTTAGACAAACAAAAAGTAGTGAAACTGGAACATGTAGGGATTGTTAACCTGTAACTGCACTGACGGTGTGACGTGGGAGGAGATATAAGAAGGTAGCAGACCAAGGAGGGATTTATAGATGAAAATGAACCTGTGAGAGAGTCTACGTGTAGATAATGATGACCAACTGACCAGTGAGTACAGAGTACAGTGATGGGTACGGTAGTTGCAACCAGTTACAAATCTTAGCGCACCATTATTATCTGTTATCTGTCCAGTTCTTGACCAACGTATTGTGTGATCTGCCTTTGAAAATATGTGGAAAGACAACAGGAAGTGTTTCCAACAGATGAACAGTACAAGATCTGACACAACACATGAGACATGGGCAGCTGTGGCTGAGTGGTTAGAGCAGTCGTCCTCCAATGCAAGAGTTGGGAGTTCGATTCCAGCAGCAGTCACATGCCGAAGTGTCCCTGGGCAAGACACTGAACCCCTCATAGCCTCTGATGTGTGTCCCATCAGTGTCTGAATGAGATAAAGCTCTGATTAGTCTTCATACAGATCTAGTAGAGTTCTGTATGAATGGGTAAATGAGGCACAGATTGAAGTGTAAAGAGCTTTGAGTATCTGGATAAGATAGAAAGGTGCTGCATAAGTAAACTATTTACCATTTTACCATTTACATAAATCATAATTCAGCTGACCCTTTACTGGTAAGTAAAGTCTTAGATGATACTGTTGCTTTTTGGGAATCACTTGTTAGATACATTTGGTATTTTTCCTAGATTCACACAAAATTGAAATGAACCTTTTAAAAGCAGAGCTTTTGTCATACATGTGCATCAACACAATGCAAAGGCTGAAAGGAATCAGCAGAAACAGCTGTTGCAGCCTGTCAGTCTGGGAAGTAACGTCATTTTCAAACTATTTGGAGTCCATCAGAGAGAAAGATTATTCAAAAGGGGAAAATATTTAAGACAGCTGCTAGTCTTCCCAAGAGCTGACATCCAAGCAAATTCACCCCAAGGTCAGACTGTGCAATGTGTCACCTCAATACAAGTTCATTTTTCAAGTTTAGAAGCTTTTTATGCCTTAATGATGTTAAGTAGCCTAAAAAAAATAATAATACATTGACAACCCGGGTCGTGTAACCCAGGGTTATACCATCCGGCTCAGCCAGGATAAAGGGAGGTGACATTAAAAGCAGATGGAAATAGATTTGGAATGGTAGAAGTGATTTGTCCAGTTAAACAAACAAAACTGAACAAAAAGAGAGTACCGTAATTTTAAAGTACTAATTATCTATTATATTTTACAAATATAACTTCTAACAAAAGCAATAAATAGTAAATTGGCTGTACTTATACGGCACCTTTCTATCTAATTAAGATACTTAAAGCACTTCACACTACAATCTGTGCCCTCATGTACCCATTCATACAGCACTCTACTACATGGCTATTCAACTAAACTACTCAGGGGGCCACAATTACTGAAAACCAGCAGTTCAGGGGCCAGACATCTAGCAATTAGTCATTATGCAAATTAACCAAGTACAGTTATAATCCGTTACCTTTTTTAAATTCATTTATTTTGCTGCATTGAATCATAAATGCAATAAACGTGTAGATAATTATGACCAACTGAATATAGCGTTCACCCAAAAGTGTAATTCAAAGAAATTACATTTCAAGATTTAGTTTCTTGCTATAAAAGTAGTGATTATTCTGATGCAAAACAATATTAAAAACAAAAATAACACACTATGCTATATTTTTAATATAACAAAGTTGTATAATAGCAAAAAATAAAAATTATATATAATGTGTTCAGTGATAAACTTGGGCTCCTGTCACTTTAATCACATTTGTTGGGTTTGACATTTTCTATTTATGACCTCTTTAGTCACTAAAAGTACTTGGACAGTAAAAACAGCAGGACATGTGATGATTCAGGCAAAAAAGACAAACGTGATTGACAGACTCAATGCCAAAAGCATGATTTATTTTCACATTTGAGCATTTCTTAAGTTACATTTATCTAATTTCTGTAAGACTGACACTCACGGAGAGAATATCATGAGTTTTTTGAAAAAAAAAAAAAAAAAGAAGGTAAACAGAGACACGCGAACAGGAGTTGCTATATTTGTTGCCCCCCATCTGGGTGCCTGTACGTTGGTGTTCACCCTGGTGAACAAGAGGGTAGCCTCCCTCCGCCTACGTGTGGAGGGACAGAGTCTGACTGTTGTTTGTGCTTATGCATCAAACAGCAGTTCAGATTACCCACCCTTTTTGGAGTCCTTGGAGTGGGTACTGGAGAGTGCCCCTCCTGCTCCTGACTTCAGTGCTCACGTGGGCAATGACGGTGAGACCTGGAGGGGTGTGGTTGGGAGGAATGACCCCCCTGATCTGAACCAGAGTGGTGTTTTGTTATTGGACTTCTGTGCTCATCATGGATTGTCCATAATGAACACCACGTTCAAGCATAAGGGTGTCCATATGTGCTCTTGGCACCAGGACACCCTAGGCTGCAGTTCGATGATTGACTTTGTTGTCGTCTCATCTGATCTGCAGCCGCATGTCTTGGACTCTCAGGTGAAGAGGTGTGGAGCTGTCCACTGACCACTGCCTGGTGGTGAGTTGGCTCTGATAGTGGGGGAGGATGCTGGTCAGACCTGGCAGGACCAAACGTATTGTGAGGGTCTGCTAGGAACATCTGGCAGAGTCTCCCGCGAGACGGAGCTTGTAACTCCCACCTCCGGGAGAACTTCAAACACATACCGGGGTAGGTGGGGGACATTGATTCTGAGTGGGCCATGTTCCGCACCTCCGTTGTCGAGGCGTCTTATTGGAGCTGTGGCCGCAAGGTTGTCGTGCCTGTTGAGGCAGCAACTCTTTTACCTGGTGGTGGACAACAGCAGTGAGGGATGCTGTCAGGCTGAAGAAGGAGTCCTATCAAGCCTTTTTGACCTGTGGGACACCGGAAGCAGCTGATGGTACCGGCAGTCCAAGCAGCATGCAACTCAGGTGGTTGCTGAGGCCAAAACTCAGATGTTTGAGGAGTTCTGAGAGGCCATGGAGAATGAATTCTGTATGGCTTCAAGGCAATTCTGGTCTACCATCTGGCATCTTGGGATGGATGGGTGGGTGGTTGTGTGTGTGTGTGTGTGTGTGGGGGGGGAGCAGTACACCACCAACACTGTTTAAAGTGGGGGTGGTGTGCTGCTGACCTCAACTTGGGACGTTGTGGGTCAATGGGCAGAGTACTTCAAAGACATCCTCAATCCCACCAGCATGTCTTCCACTGAATAACTGGAGCCTGGGGACTTTGGGTCGGGCTCTCCAATCTCTGGTGCTGAGGTCACCGATGTGGTTAAAAAGTTCCTCAGTGGCAGGACCCCGGGGGTGGATGAGATCCACCAGGAGTTCCTTAAGGCTCTGGATGTTGTGGGTTTGTGTTGGCTTACACAACTCTGCAATATTGTGTGGACATCAGGGGCAGTACCTCTGGATTGGCAGACCAGGGTGGTGGTTCCCCTATTCAAAATGGGGGACCGTAGAGTGTGTTCCAACTACAGGGGGATCACGCTCTTAAGCCTCCCTGGTAAGGGTACATCGGATAGTTAAACCTCGGATTCAGGAGGAACAGTGTGGCTTTTGTTCTGGTCGTGGAACACTGGACTAGCTCTACACCCTCTACTGGAGGGTGCGTGGGAGTTTGCTCAACCGGTCTACATGTACTTTGTAGGCTTGGAGAATGCGTTTGACCACGTCCCTCGGGCAACCCTGTCGGGGTACTCCTTGAGTATGCGGTACCAGGCCCTTTGATACGGGCTGTTAGGTCCCTGTATGACTGGTGTCAGAGCTTGGTTCACATTGCCAGCAGTAAGTCGGGCTCATTCCCAGTGAGAGTTGGACTCCGTCAA